TTTTTTAACCTTCTCTGGTTTACTTGTGTTTTATAATTTTGGAGATATTGGTTGGCCTCAAATATCTTTTTGCCATTGCTTACAAATAATGGGTATCTTGGCTAGAATAAAGATTCATGAGTTCTGCTTTCTGTTCAGGTAGTCCGGATCCTCGTTCATGGTTTTTTAGCTTTTAGTGTTGATCATGATAAGTCCAATGCCAGCTTTGGTTTTTCCATTTATGGATAGTTGTTCTTACAAGGTCTTTTTCTTATTCTATAGATTAATGATTTTACAAGGATGTGAGTAGATACTTGTCTTTTCTCTTCAATCAAACCTGAAACTTAGTTACACTTTCCCAATTAGATGTTTTTTCAGCCTGGAGAACTTTTTTTTATTATTATTTACTTAATTGTTCCCTCTTTTTCACATGGTATCTTTTCTCCTTCTGAACACCTATTTTTCACATATTAATTTTCTGGGTCTATCCTTCAATTAATTTTTCTTTTCTGTTATTATCATCATTTACTTAACTCTGTGCTCTGTGTTTTGAGATAATCCTTGCACTTCATCTTCTCATCTACTTAATTAGTTGTCAGTGATGATTTTTTTTAAAGATTTTATTTATTTATTTGACAGAGAGAGAGACAGCGTGAGAGGGAACACAAGCAGGGGGAGTGGGAGAGGGAGAAGCAGGCTTCCCACGGAGCAGGGAGCCCGATGTGGGGCTCGATTCCAGGACCCTGGGATCATGACCCGAGCCAAAGGCAGACACTTAACAACTGAGCCACCCAGGTGCCCCAATAATGATCTTTTTTTTAAATTCATATGCTTATTTTAGTTTGAAAATCATGGTTTTAAGCTTTAGTGTGTGTGTTGTATTAGAAATTATGTAAATGCTCTAACAATTTTAGTGCAGGTTTTTATCTCTTCTAGCACTTCCTAGTTCAGTAGGTACATGTTCTGATTATTCAGTCTTACTGTGTTCTTTCAATTGTTGGAGCCTCTCACGTGGTCAGTTGTTTTTCTATGATGACTCATGTCTGGTGGTTGAACTGTCCTTAACTGCAGGAATCCTGGAGTTCAAAATGGATATAGTGCCTGAAGTGTAAGGACAGTTAGCCCACTAGAGATAACTAAAGGAAGCCTAGTGCTCTCTAATCTACTTCAACTGTCCTCGTTCTAAAGTAGGGAAGACTCATCTGTTTCATGATGGGAAAATACAGCAAATTTCAAGAGATTGGAGGTGATCTTACAATGGGTGTCTTCAGATACCTGGAAGCCAAGTTATTCCAATGATGCTGCTTTTCAGTAAGTTACCCACCCATGGGACAATGTAACTGTACACCAGTTTGCTCTGATGTTACCTCAGTAGAGCCTTAAGACATATAATGGCGTGCAGGTCTCAGCAGCTGCTTAACTTTAGAAAGTTCAGGAACCTGGAGTTGGCATAGAGAGGGGGAAAGCCACAGTCAAGTTGTCATGTTTCAGAATACTTTGGATCCTCACCCATTCCAGTGCCATTTACGTTCTGATAAGTTTCAAATTTATTATACCTCTATTCCTTACCATTCCCTTGGTGCGCACATCCAGTTGCCTACTTAACAGTTCGACTTGGTAATCTAATGGATACAGAGGTTGCATGTCCCATGCTTGATTGTCATCACCAGACCTACTTTTCCTGAGTCTTTCTTATCTCAGTGAATGCCATCTCCACCATTTTTTAGGGTTAATTTCATTAGCCATTATCTTAAGATTCATTCTTGACTTCTCTCTTTTATTTTTACATCCACATCCCAGTTGATCAACAAATCCTACTGGCTGTACTTTCAGAATGTACCTAAATTGATCACTTCTTACCCTCTACCTCTACCGCTCATCTGTACCTCATTATTTCCTCCTGGTCTACTGCAGGTGCTTCCTTACTGTTCTACCTGCTTCTGCTCTTGCCCTCTACAGTTTATTCCCTATAAGCCAGAGTAATCTTTTTAAAAGGTAAAATGTTGCTTCCCTCCAAAGGATTCTAAGAAAAGCCAAACTCCATGCAGTCGCTTATGAGGCTCTCCATGCCATACGGCTCTTCCAGCTGCCTTCCAACCTTATTTTCTATCATTTTCATGACTTAGTGCATGTTAGTCACATTAGCGTCCTTGTTCCTTCTTAATTACATCATAACCCTCTTATCTCAGGGGCCTTGCCCTTGCCGATCACTTTGTTTAAGAATACTCTTCTTCCAGGGGCGCCTGCATGGCTCAGATGGTTCAGCATCTGCTTTCGGCTCAGGTCATAATCCTGGGGTCCTGGGATTGAGCCCCGCATCGAGCCCTGCATCGGGCTCCTGGCTCAGCAGGGAGCCTGCTTCTACCTCTCTCTCTGCCGCTTCCCCTGCTCATGCTCGCTCTCTCTCTCTCTGTATCTCTGTGTCTCAGATGAATAAACAATATCTTAAAAAAAAAAAAAGAAAGATTACTCTTCTTCCAGATTTTCTCATGATTCTCTTCCTCATTAAATTTGTGTCTTGCTCACATGAACAGACATTTCTCCAAAGAAGACATACAAATGGCCAGCAGACACATGAAAAAAATCCTCAACATCACTTGGCATCAAGGAAATAGAAATCAAAACCACAATAAGATACTGCTTCACACCGGTCAGAATAGCTAAAATGAACAACTCAGGAGACAATAGATGTTGGCGAGGTTGCGGAGAAAGAGGAATCTTCTTACCCTCTTGGTGGAAATGCAAACTGGTGCAGCCACTCTGGAAAACAGTATGGAGCATCCTCCAGAAGTTAAAAATAGAACTACCCTATGACCCAGCAATTGCACTACTAGGTATTTTTCCAAGGGATACAGACATAGTGATCCGAAGGGGCACCTGCACCCCAGTGTTTATAGGAGCAATGTCCACAATAGCCAAAGTATGGAAAGAGCCCAGATGTCTATTGACAGATGAATGGATGAAGAAGATGTGGTATATATATTACTCAGCCATCAAAAAGAATGAAATCTTGCCATTTGCAACAACATGGATGGAATTAGAGGGTATTATGCTATTGAAATAAGTCAGTCAGAGAGGGACAAATACCATATACTTTCACTCATATGTGGAATTTAAGAAACAAAACATATGAGCATAGGGGAAAGGAAGGAAACATAAAGATAAAAACAGGGAGGAAAACTGTAGGAGACTCTTAACTCTAGGTAACAAACAGGATTGCTGGAGGAGAGGTGGGTAGGGGTATGGGATAGTTGGGTGATGGGCATTAAGGAGGGCGCTTGATGTAATGAGCACTGGGTGTTCTATGCAACTGATGAATCACTAAATTCTACCTCTGAAACTAATAGTACAGTATATGTTAACTAAACTGCATTTAAATAAAAAAATTTTTTTAATTGTGCCTTGCTCAAATCTATTCATACTGCCTTATCATAGAGACTGTTCCCTACCATTCTATAGAACGGATCCTTTTCTATGTTGCCTATACCACCTTACCCTGTTTGAGTTTTTTTTATTAGCACCTTTCACCACTTAAGCCACATGTTTGCTTATTGTCTTCCTCCAGTAACCCTCTATGAAGAAAGAACTCTGTAATTCACTGCTATATATCCCTAGCACTTAGAACAGTGCTAGGTACATAGTAGATACTTAATATACACTTCAAGTGACATCTTTACCAAATTTGAATTGCATTTTAAAATGAAAAATTATGTATGCCTGTGGACCTTTCTGGGAATAAATCATGTTTTTAAATTATTTTTTAGTTTTCTATTTGTTAGACTTGTTTGCAGAACATGTAATATACTTTTTTACTTTTGAATATGTTTTCAATTTCAGTTCA